TTATTAAAAAAATTTAATTTTATCTACATCCAATAAAAAAAAAAAAAAAAAAAAAAACGGCCTCTGGTCTCCTTTCCTACATGCAGAAGCGTTAGCATTAGCCGTTATACTTTTTTGGCTAAAGGTTGCAGGCTTGCCTTCTAGTGGTTTTGGTTCAATTTCTTTACTGGAATCAGTGTTGCCAGATTGGAAATGTCCAAGTATCGTACCAGAAATTCAAAATTATCGTATTTGGAAGAAAATTATCGTACACGTGTCAAACGGTCAGAATACAGCTATTTATCTAGATGTTACAGCTATTTATCCTTTTCAGCACTCATTTTCAATACTTTATTGCTAAACTATCGACCTCAGCTTTGAAAAAAAAAAACTGACCTAAGTGCGGCAGGAACATTAACTTGTACTCGGGAGAGAGAGTCATTCTCCACGATGATTGGTCGAGAAGGTGTGAGATGAGATGAAAGACAACACATTCAAGTCTCCTCACAATCATGAAGGTGCATGTACAGTACGACCCACACAGCTAGATCAAGGAGTAATATTATAGAAGCCCTATGATTACAACGACTATCATTTGGTGTCACAAAATTCTGAAATTATCGTACATTATGGTATTATTGATCGTACATCGTACAGAGGTCAAAATTATGGTACAAATACGATAATTATCATACGTCTGGCAACACTGACTGGAATGGACTGCTGATGACATCACACAGGTATGGGTAGCACACTCATACAAAATACATGACAACCCTTGCTTTTAAACCACTGGGCTCTGGCGACAACATCATTGGCATAATCATCTCCTGTGGTGCATGCGCTCATATATTTGGACATTCTTCACACAGGCTGATATTCCCCCTGAAACAGACAATATACTACAACTGAGATATGAAATCAAACTAAATATTGAATGCATTTAGATTTATGCTCTGAAAAGGTAGCCTATGCTTAATCCAAAACCTATGTGAAATCTTCACAACTTGAAATCTTCACTACACGTTCACAGAACAAAATCCATCCAGTTTATCAAGAATTAGATTTACATGCAACATTGTGTCACAGTCACCAGTTGAGACCCCTCTGCACTGCATTTCCCAGCATCCCTCTTGCCACTCACCTGCACTCCCTTGCCAATCACTCACACCTAAAATCCATCAGTGGATCCTCCTCACCTGTCGCTGCCAATCAAGCTCCCTACAAAGACAAGCTCACTCCACTCTCTCATTGTCTGGTCTCGCAGTTGCTTAGCATAGCTTATCTAACGCACCGCTCTGTTTAATCACCTCCAAGTACTCCACCGATCCTAGGTTCCTGGCATTCCTCCTGAAAGAAAGGAAAGGACATTACTTCACCCAGTTAAGCTACCCATCCCTTTCAGTTACCTGGATACTTACCTGCACGTCTATGTCTTGTCTGCACCTGTCTCAGTCTTCAATAAACCTGCTGTTATATTGACTTACCCTTGTGTCACGTCGTGTTTGCAGACAGAAGATCAGACCCTCAACATACAAGACAGCAGTATGAGCTCCATTTACATTTAATCATTTAGCAGACACTTTTATCCAAAGCGACTTACAAATGAGAACAATAGAAGCAATCAGACCAACGAGAGAACAACAGTATACAAGTGCCATGACAAGACTCAGTTAGTCTAGCACAGTACACGTAGCTAGGTTTTTTTATTATTTTTTTTATTTTTAAATAATAGAATTGAATAGAACAGATTAGAATAGGTAAGTGCTAGTATTAGTTGGTCAGGTGCTGGTGAAAAAGATGTGTCTTTAGATGTTTTTTTGAAAATGGCTAAAGACTCGGTAAGTGCTAGTATTAGTTGGTCAGGTGCTGGCGAAAAAGATGTGTCTTTAGATGTTTTTTGAAAATGGCTAAAGACTCAGCTGTTCGAATTGAGATCGGGAGGTCATTCCACCAGCCAGGCACAGTCCAGGAAAAGGTCCGTGAGAGTGATGTTGTGCCTCTTTGGGATGGCACCACAAGGCGCCGTTCACTGGCAGAACGCAAGCTTCTGGAGGGTGCATAAGTTTGAACTAGCGAGTTTAGGTATATTGGTGCAGCACCAGTGGTGGTCTTGTAGGCAAGCATCAGTACCTTGAATTTGATGCAAGCGGCTACTGGTAGCCAGTGTAACCTGATGAGGAGAGGAGTAACGTGAGCTTTTTTTGGCTCATTGAAGACCACTCTCGCTGCTGCATTCTGGATCAGTTGCAGAGGCTTGATAG